AATACAAAAAATAGCTGATAAAATTGCTAAATGCTAAATGAATTTTGCTAAATGAAGTGGGAAAAGCTCTAGATTTGGAGGGTTTGCGAATTCAATAATAGGGAACATAAAACATTAAATAGCAAACATTTCCTATATGTATCATAATGTAACTTATACTAATTCATCTTGAGATACTTCGATGATAAAACGCAGTAATAATTATCTCGTTTAGTATGCCTAATGGAGATGGTGATGCAGAAGCATGAACCCTAAATGCCCATTATAGAATTTCAATAATTTACACCATTCTATTCACATTGTAACATGTTTAGTATATTTGCACTGACAAGCACTAAATAATAAAAAGGTTATTTTCACCAATAGACCATTTTCCGTTCACTGCGAGAATCACGCGTTATGCGTGAAATTGAACGTAAAAACAGGACAAACAAAGGTCGTAGTGCCGTCAAACATCGCGTGGGATTCGACAAACGCGAAAGTATTTCGGGGACATTTCCATGCTTAATAATGTGCTGTCCACATTTGATGATAGACAATTTTGATTAAGTAAGGGTATTCGGAAGCAATATTCCTCTGTCGAAGATCGGCCGGTCGATGTGAGTTACGAAATAAAGAAATTCGAGTTCAAAATCAAATCGTTCGATTTTTGCGGCAGACGTTCAACGCGCGTTTTTCATACATCTCGCGAGATCTCGCAATCGTACGGAAAATCACCTATTAATGATTGAAAAGACCCATTAGTAACTGTGATGATTACGAATAATCTGTGTACACTGGGCTAACAAGTTTTTATTCATTCATATGCTAGCACAGGATTATGTCCACCTGGTAAAATGAAATGATTAGTAAAAATCTCAAGTTAAAAAAAAAAAACATGCTGAGGAAATAATCAATAAAACCCATACTAAACCCAAGTAAATAAAATGCAGAAAACGCAAATAATCTTTTTTACTTCTCATTAAGATAAAATTTCACATATCACACCAAAATACAGTAATTTCAATGAAAAATGTTCTTGTAGAATGGCACTCTCTCCCCAGTTTCAATGACAATTGTATTGCTTCGCAAGGTTATTTAAAAATGTAAGAGGAAATACTTGTGCACAGATAAACTAGGGAGTGGTCACTATATATGCTTTATTTACAGCTACTAGTTGGTTATTTTAGAAATATGCTAATAAGCATACTGGCTGTGTATTAATCCAGGAAGGGAAATATCGTTTCCGTGTCTATTGAAGTCGTACAAATACAATTGCTTCACGCCAGACACCTTGTAAATGTATGACAATGTTTTTGCACAGTTTAAAGCAAGGTGTACATGCATTGTAACTATAGCTTTTACAGCTACAGTGATTACAATCCACATTAATTCAAAACTGTTATTACTTCAGTTTTATTGGAGCTTGGAATCAACATCAGCCCTAGACATCAGAGTGACTAACAATTGCTGATAAGGAATTTCAAATTGACTAAAACGATGGATTTTTTTATCCAAATTAAACAAACCTTTTGAAAACTGAAGACTTTACATTTTACAGCACGGGAGTCATCACCTGCTCAAGTACCTACCCATAACATGCGAAGATGACAATCTCTATCTCAACAAAATTAATGCAGCTATGAATGCCAGACTACATGTTTTGTGTTGCTGCGTTATCAAAAACTCATCAAAAGCCAATAAACCTAAAAAGCAAATTGGCCACCAGAATTTCGGGAGCGTGAGCCACTGAAATAGAGTTTGATTCTCCCCAGTCGCCGTTTCAAAATACTGTGGTTGCATATATCAATGTTACAGTAGATGTGATGATGCAGAGAGAATGAAACTCGCTCTCAGCGAGATATCTGACCATTTGCAACCAAAATGTTGCACCACCCAAAAATCAAACCTGTATATGTTGAACATAAACATACTGTCCAATAATTTAATCATCCACATTTCAAGAAAAAATGTTAAACATCAAATTTGACATAAATTTCTACTGTACAATACAGTATACTAAACGTTGTTTATATAAAATTATTCAAAATTGACAACGGCAATTTTAGTAAATTTCATTTCGTGCATGGTATAGCAGTAAAAACACTGACACCCCCACAGTGCCGGCTGCTGCCAATAAGCAAAATTTATATAGCCTTCAATGTGTTGACCTTATTTTACGGAAAGTGAAAACAGACTCATTATAATAAGACTTGCCTTCAAGCAGAATGTACATTGTTATTTTGCGAAAATACTGAACAAGAAAAAATAGCTAAATTAAACAACTAGTTAAAAAAGATTTCAACTGTACTACACTTTACTCTGCTTAATACAAGTTTTTTTTTTTTTTAAGAACAATTGGCATCATTTGGTTTCAAGGCTGTACGTTTATTTGCATATAAATAGCATTCTGCAGGAGTGGGGTTACCCTTGCATGACCTTGGCAGAGAAGCTCAAGCCTTTATGTTATCTTTAGCTGAAAAATCATAAAATACCTGTAAATTT